CATCACCAGAATGCCTCTGGGAACATAAGCCTTCTGCAGGTCCACAAAACACACGTAGACCGGAGAGTGCAACTCTCATGACCCCTTGGAATAAAATCAAAACCAAATACTCTTTCTTGTGTTTTTTTTTTTCACCAAACCATACTGTTTATAGTTTGTCTTTTATTTCATCCTTGTTATATTCCATAAGGTTTATTTCTATCAACCAGACTGTCTTTATATTTCATAATGTTTAATTCACAATGATACCAGACCATACTGTGTATATTTCATGCAGCTTATATTAATAACAGATCATATTCTGTTCATACCAAACCACTGTTTAAATGTATTTACTATGTTTTGTTTTACTCTTGAGTGTTTATATTTTATCTTTTTCTGGTGCGCTTATCTTTTATTCTCTAATTGTTTTTACTTGAATAACTGCAGATATAGTAATAACCCTCCGGTATCAATAACGTATTCTGATTCTGATTCAAAATATATAACTAATTGTAACATACTAATTTCATACCATACTTTGATATTACATATAACAAATGACACAAAATTATTTTTATTTCATTTTTCATGCACTGTAACTAACAATGTAGCTTTCACACTATCAGCTGATAAATTGCCAGTTTTGTCTAAAGGAGTTACATTCTTTGTATTTATCTTTCAATCAACATTAGCTGCATCTCAGTGTTCAGTGTTATTGTGAAGATTGCAGCTTTGACTTTTGTGACAGTTATTTTGAAAGTGGAAAATGCTTAGCTAAGTAATAATAATAATAATAATAATAATAATAATAATAATAATAATAATAATAATAATAATAATAATAATAAAATAGATGGTAAAGTGAACTGTATAGAAAAATAACAGCTTTTTCAAACCAGCCACCTCCCTGTGTCTTTGCCACTCCGAGCTAAACGTGCACAGACAGATGTTAAAAGGTGTTGATGGATGTCCTCAGAGGAGCAGTCGTCCATCTTTATACCGCCCTTTCTTTTGAGGGATTGGTGTCAAGACGTGGCTACTAATGGATGACTTGTTCAGACAGGACTGCATTTGTGCCTTTGACTGTGTTTTCAGTCTCACTGTGTTTGAAGTCGCGCTTGTTAATGAGCCAGTCCACCTTTACAGCGCTACGCTGTTAATATTTATGTTTTAAGTACACAACAGTTATGGAAATAATGCATTTTAATTAAAGCTCTGGCTTCTTGTCAACACACTGATTACTGCTGTTGATTTAATAAACTGTTGATTTAATTCTCTTTAAGAGAAATCTTCCACATATGATAATGAGCAGGAGGTGACGACTTTTTTATTTCAAAAGTTTTGCACATGCCTGATTTCAACAACAACGTTCTGTTTTCATCTCATCTTTTGAAACGGGTCATTCTTGTGGAGTCAGCAACTGCTTTTATGTTTTGTTGAAAATGCTGCAGGCCTGAGAAGAATGAACAAAAGATGTGATTAAAAATGGAATGTGTGTCCCCAAAGGGAAATGGCCGATGACACAGAAACTYAGAATAAATCAAACTGTTTGTGAAATTACAGTTTACTCTGATATMTTCTCATTTTTTCTCCATTTTTTTCCTCTTTGCTAAATAAAATGAATAACTTTACATCATCTGCTTCACTGTTGTGAACAACGTTGTCCTCATGTTAAATAAAAATTTCAATTGATAAGTGACCTACGGCTTGTTAAAAAGTATATTTTATAATATGCACTTGCAGTATGTAAGCTGTCATGTGAAAGGAAATGTTTTGCAAATGAATAAAAAAGCCTTTTGCTGGTCCATAATGCAACGCAATTTAAATTAAATGCACAGTATTTTTCATGCTGAGGGAATTTTGTGTTAGTCCACTCATTTGTTCTTGTATTCATCTCGACAAATGTCTTTAAATGCCTGCTCTTCTAACTGTAATGAAAATTAATTTATTAAGTGTCACATAGATTTTAAATGACATCTGTGTGTCAAAGGATGGATTATTTATTATGTTGATAAATTACTCTTATTTTAAATATGCTTAATTTGTTGCTTGGTGGTCAGTGCTGTGGCTTCGTMATCCAGAGGTTATGGTTCAAGCTTGTGTCTGGGAAGGCATTCACTTTAAAACAATTGTCAAATCTACGGAGTGAGTTTGCTCACTGTGGTGACCCCTGCAAAAAGATGCAGCATTAATAAATGAGTGACTCAGTCAATAAATCAATCAAGAACTTTTGAGGATTCAAGTGTTAGAATGTTAGAGAGCATTGCAAAGATCCTAAAAGGTCATCTGGGACCTGGACTTCCGACAACGACCACCAACATAAAAAATAACTCCAAGACAAGAAAGTAAAGAAAAAAAGAAGGAAATGACAAACATTTTATTCACTACAAGTCACGTTTGAAAAAACAAAAACCAAAAACAAAAATTTCAATATAAAGTTATCCAGTATTCTGAGATGAAACATTTAAAAAAGTAACATCATAAC